ACATTACTGGTACCTTTGTGAGCCCTGCAGAAATTGTCTGTCATAGCAATGTTTACAGTCAAAAGTTGATGTAGCTTGAACACTTCTGCACTAATTTCTATAAACTTTGACATACTTCCCCCACCAGTGATCGACCTGTCCTGTCTATTTCATCTCATTCTGGTGAAAAGTCCCAAAGTTGACCAAGACTAATAAATCAAATTTTAAAGGTGTATAACTCAAAAGCCCTGCTCTGATTTTTAAACTAGAATTTCCAATTGCTCGTCCCTTCAACATTGGTTAAAATTCCTGATTTTGTTAAAAAAAAAAAAATGATACAGTGTTAGACATTTCTATTTTCCAATACCAGATCATAGGAGGGCAGACCAACATTGTTCCTAATTCATACTTGAATCCTATGAATTAGTGAGCTACTCCCCATTAATGCAATGTCCTGGCTTGGATGAAAGCCATAAAGTAAACAATCATAGATGTGAAGAATTTCTTTTGATATCCACTTGCAATGAATGCAAAAAAGTCCACAAGAAGCCAGCATAATTTAAACAACACTAATGGGGCTCCAGTTTCCATAACACCTGAAACAGAACTCCGATGCTATGTGTTATGAGGTTCTAACTCTGAATAATTTCTTAGGAATGTCGTATTTATATTTAATTTGCGTATAATGCTAATATTAGTTATTAATCATTATTAAAATAGGTTGGTTATGACTTTCATGCCTGAAAAAGAGCAACCCATATGGGCAAAATTTACTGATGCCGAACCTCTGCTCAACATGAGGAGATTAAGAAAATCAGCCTTTTTAAAAAAAAAATTAAAAAAATAAAATCATGATGCGATATGATTACTCCCGTTATGCAGAAAGGAGTAAAAGAAAGAGCCTGGAAATCATAAAGTGAGATATTAAACTAGCTAGAGCAAACAGAAGCATGGCTTCTGCTTAAAAGTAATTCCTCCTTGATCAGTTTAGCATGCAGTTTGATCAGAAAAAGGTACCTGGGTGCAAAAACTCAAATGATGAAATATGCAGCTTGATCAGTAAAGTATGTTAAAATTCAGCAGTTCCAGAAGATAGCTCAGCCAGTGAATTATACAGGAAAGCTGGCAAGGTACACAACTGGGACCATAAATTATGAAAGCGGATTACTCAAGTATGCATCTTCATTAAAAGAATTTGTGAGGGAGAAAAAAAAATCGTAAAATCCAGCATGCCTCTTGACAATTAAGCTGTGCAATTGGAGCTTCAAATAGTAACAATGGGATTACAAAAATATTCATCTAAACTAGCGAAGCAAGGTTCTCCTTACAAAAACTGCATGCTTCAGACAAGGACCATTTTAGGCAATTGGGTTATTCTAACAGATTATAAATATTAGATGAAAATTGAATATGTCCAACAAGTTCTTTTAGTTCTTTAGAAATAAGATTTAAAAAAAAAAATCAAAAGATGAGCAAAAAAATCTAAACCTTGACTTAGGAATTGGGCTTATTTAAATCTTTCCAGTCAAAGTCAAAGTATTGAAATAGGCCTGGGGGAATGCACCAATTTATCCGTATGTGATTTATATGAAAATAGCGAATCATTGTGAAAATTCACCTCAATTAGCATAACATCTAGGGAATCAATAAACAAAACAAATAACATGGACTAACTGGATATCACTCCTAATAGTTTGACATTGTTTTCACTGAAACTGTCTCCTAGGGTTTGGCGTTCTGAATTGTCAGACATATGGTATTAGAATTCTGATATTAGAATTAATGTTAGAATTCTGCAACATTTATGATTGTTTGCCACCCAGAGTCACTGGTCTGAGATGGGCAGCTATACAAATTGAATAAAACAAACAAACAAACAAACAAACACACTTAAAACGGCATTCAGGAGGTATAGAAGGCGGGGCAGAGAACCCCCAGGACAATGAAAGAATTGAAATAATTCATTTTCTAACTCCTAGAAAATAACTTGCAACATATTCATACATCCTGGAAATTGGAATTTCTAAAGAAATCTATTCTTCCTTAAAGTTACTCTCCAAGACAGAAATCTGTATAACGTATTGGTTAGGTCCTAATGAAGATTAACCTTGTGTACCTGCTTCTACGTTAGGGAAAGGATATTTTTGAACATAAACATTCTGCATGCCAGATTAACATTTTTTTTTTAATTTATTTAATTTTGCATCAGCCTTGCTGGGCAAACTAGATAGGAAAAATGACCAGATGAATTAATTCTACTTTACTGTAAAGCTACATTGACAGAAACATGCAAGTCTGAAAGAACTTCCCCCCCCCCCAATCATCTTTACAGCCCAAGAAACTAGGGAGGGTCCCTTCTGAGACTCTTGCCCCTCCCACTGTCCAGCTGCTATCTCTTATCTGACCGTTCCCTTGGCAGGGTCTCTTTGCCCAGTCTACCCACATTCCCACATACCATTACATTTTGTTTTATACCATAAACCATTGTTTACAAACCACAACAGCTGTTCAGACAGTATGCCTGGTACAAATGAAATAAACTCATCACTAAGGCTTAGTATGATGTGCAAGCTCAATAAACAACCCTTTAGTTAATTTAAGGGATTATGTGTCATACTTACAAAAGATTAATTACAATTATGTATCACACTGACAAGAGGCTAGCTGCAATAAATGGTACCTAACTTACTCATGATTAATTTATTATTTCAATCAATTACTTGAATGAGTAAACACAGATTATGTGTTTTGTTTTGTATGGACATAATTTAATTAGATTTTTATTTTATTTTAAGTATGGAATAGAATGTATTTTTAATGGAAACTAAAGATTTAAAACTCCCACGACAATTCTTCTTTTGTTGTTAGTTTTGTACTTACAAACCTTTAATGCAAACTTTAAGCGTAAATAAACATTTTAGTTTTGCAAAGTTTGCAAAACTGTATGCTTAGTTTCAGACACTGAAGGAATTCAGCATATATGCAGAGGAAGAAAATACACATGGGAGCAAACCTGTTCCTTTGCTTGGTTTTCTATTCAGCAACTAATGCAATAAAAAAAATGAACAATATATTTTCAGCACAGTATCATTTTATATGGTTTGGACTCATTAATTATGTATTATTTCTTTTTTCTTTTCCCACTGTACACAGTTGCTTGTAGATTATTATTGGAAGCAGAAGCTGAGTGAGAAATACTAGCTCTAAGAAATTCACACTTGCTCCTAAAGAGTAGTAAGTTATCTTCAAATCAAACTCCTTGGAATCTATTTCAATTATTCAATTTGAATGTGTTACTGAGTTTCTATTATTTTCTTTGTAACGAGTCAAGTACACAAAATAATGTAAAGGTCAGAGGAGAACAGGAAAAGGCAGCCTATCTTATTCAAGTGAGAAATCTTTATTTTATTTATATGCCTAGCCCAATTAGTTACTTAATTGGGTGCTTTCAAAATAAGCTCATTTCCTGGTCATTTGCATAGACCAGTGCCTGCCATCTCAACCTGTCTCCACTAATAAGTAGTATCTCTTCCAAGTACATTCCTGTAATCATGATACTGTTCATTCATCTTACTAATTGTTTCCTCCTTCCTTGGCTTGCCAAGAATAGTGGGGGGGTTTTTTCCCTAGTTCACTGTCCACTTGCATCACATGCCTCAAGGGAACAGTCTTCATTTTTTCCAGTATCAATTGATTGGCTTTTCCTGCAGTCCATGGTACTTGTAGTACCATGTATCTATGTATCTCTGGATCCATAATTCAAAGGTATCTAGCTTTCACACTTTCTATGTCTACCTTTTACAACCATACATTATTACTGGAAATACCATTGTTTTATAATTTTGGTCTTTGTTGTCAGAGAATACCCTATTCTTCGTGATCTTGTTTGTCACTGCCTTCTTCCTGTAGCACTCATCTCCTTTTTATTTCTCCAGCATACTGTCCATCTTTATCTTTGAACTCAAGAAAACAAAACCAACTGTCACGTTCATTTCTTTGCTGTAAACTGTAAATTCCCTGAGCATGTTGGCTAACATTACTCTTATCTTTTTAATATTTAACATTAACCCCAATTTTTCACTTTCGCTTTCGGAATGACTTTCCAATTCTTCTTTACTTCCAAGTAATAAAATGGTGTTACGTTATTTCACTCTCCTTCTTATTCTGAATTGCTCTGTTTCTCCAGATTCAGTTCATACAGTAGCTTCTTGTTCATTATAGAATTCCTCAGAAGAATAACCAAGTGTTCTGCCACTCCCATTAGCCTTAATATATTCCACATTCTGCCATGATCTGTAGAATGAAAGGTCTGGCCACAGTCGACACAGCAAAGGTCAAACTCGTCCTTATGTTCCTTTGCTCTGTGTGCTATCTGTCTTACATTAGCTATCTGACTGTGTTCCTTTCTGCCTTTTCTGAAACCTGTCTGGTTATAAGGTGTTTTTTTCTCCATAGCTTTTCTTTTTTTTTTGCCTGAGAAATTATTGCAGCAGTTTAGTAATTTGCACTTCCTCTTGCATCTCCCTTCTTCCTTTCTGCATTTGAAAAACTAGAAATTCCTTATCTCCAAAAGTAACACTTTCTGCTAAAGTTAAAATGTAAAGCTCTGCTTTAGCTTGTTCTTTGTTCCAGGTGCTTTCTAACACTAGAAACACACATGAGCTTCAAGGTATGTTGAAAGATAGCAACATTTTGAAAATAAACAGATTTGGTGCGGTAAATTCACATGCGAATTTTCCAAGTGGACTGTACTTAATTTGTAGTTAGATCACATCTCCTCTAGTTGCCTCATATTCTTGAAAATCTTGCAAATCCTATTAGTCAAGCACAGCCAAAGAGAAAAGATATTACATCAAAAACCATATCTTTTGTAGCACCAAATATCAAACTTCACCTAATATAAAACTATGTCATATTCCTATGTTTACAATTAAATAGATACAGTATGGGTTCATATACTTCATGGTTCACATACACTACTCATTAGAACTTGACTTCCAATCTAAATGGATTACACTTACATCTTTGGAGTTGCATTCTGATGTGCTTTTATTGTTATCCACTTTTTTTGAGGAAACTTGAGGAGTCTCTTTGCCTGTAGGAATTCTTTGCTGGAAGATAAGAAACAGACATGTCAACCTTTTTCCTGAGTACAGTTATAAATAATTACTTCTTGGAAATGGGAATTCTATTTTAAAGCTTTGCATTCAAATATTCAGTAGTACAACTTTTAATGTCTATGGATTGCTCGTGAGATATAGAAATGTAAGGAAGCTTTCTCTGCTGATCTCTTCTCATTGAAATCATTCTTGTTCTGGTATGAACTACAGGGATTGTATTAGCAAGGGAGAAGCACCTGCATATTCAATGGAAGTATCTTCTATTTTTTGAGTAGTTTCTATTAGGTGACAGCAATGCCTTAATTAGTTTCTTTTCCTCATCCATAATTCCCTGACCCATCATCCATAATTCCCTGACCCATCATGAAGAGCAGAAGGCCACAGTGAGGACTTTATTAGAATGCAACCCAGGTTATATAATTTTACACTTATCTACAAAATTTGTATGTCGATAGTACTAACAAAAATGCCTTCTGCCACCCACTTCCACCTACAGATGATTTTTTAAAGAAAGAAAAGAAAGGAATGGAAATTCCTTCACCTTCTCCATTTCTGTGTCATTGCTGCCAGGAGTTTTGCCTGTTATACCACGTTATTTGTCTTCTAAGGAGAAGGGCCACAGAGTGGTCCAAGTAGGGGCTAATATGAAAACAGTATTATACCATCATAACACAAACTCTGTCCCTTTTATACATGCCCTATGATGTTGCATGAATGTATGAAAGGGGTGTAGCTTGCACTGCGATCATGAAATGCTACTTTTGTAATTTTGACAAAAATATCAGATCCCAAGGGCACCTCTGCTCTAGGCCCAGCTAATGCAAAAAGTTGATACTCTTAGATGAAACTGTAAAATCATATTTCTCAGAAGATTCTGGAATGGGGAAAAATCTCATAAGGAAATTGATGGAAAAGATGGCAAGTGTCAATACTGTTTTCCAAACAGTCAAATAGTAGAATATTAATATCCACAATGGAGTTAGTGTTACATATACCATTATAGCTCTCACCACCAGTGCATTTTAGGAAAAAGAAGCCTGAGACCTGTATAATTTTGGGAGAAGGTTTTCTCCATAGGGTTTTTGGTTCAAAAATTGACTGTTTACAAAGCTGGGTTTCTTCCTTTTCCCCACCTTTCTCTACTGTTCTTGTATTAGCTTCTGCCTCCCTATTTCAAAGTTTGGCTTAGAGAAATAAAGATAATCCAGAGCCAAAAACCCTCTGTGCATCTGTCTTCTGGAAGTCATGTAATATTGTATAAATTAATGTATTTCCACCTTCCTAAGCTAAGCACTTTTCGGCACTGGAGCCTTCAACTGCTTGGGTCCTGTGTGTAAAGTGGCTGAGAATGATTCAGTTTCTAGATTTCAACCTTTTCATCCACTTTGACCATACTGAGGCCCAGGTCCTCTGTCTGAATCCCAGTTAGCACAGCCTTGAATTGGTGGATTCCCCTGCTTCTCCCCCATCCACCCACCCCACTCCCCTTGCCAGGAAATCAAGCACCAATTGTTTTCTCTTCTGTGGTGGGTAGGTCTTCTGAGGGCAAAACAGTTTTAAAGTTCTTCCTATCACTTGGGGAAGAAGGGGAAACTAGGGAGAATTCTTCTCAATTTCACCATGTTGAAACAACAGCAAAGAAACAGCTAGTTCCTCTCTCACAAAGGTCCAGCCTTTCATGGCAGATAGCCATGAAATGGTGGACTAAGGCAGAGAGTAGGGACTGGATTGTCCTGCTTGTGCCAGTAGAGGGAAGAAAACTTTCTTGAAGTGGAGCAAGAAAACTCACGGAGAGTTTACTTCCCCAGTAGGGTAAGGGGGAGAACTGTCATCCAATAGAAGAAAATATCTGTAGCTCAGGGTAGAACTGTGGAGTCCTTGATGCTCTCTGAGCTTGGTTGTTTGCTTGCAGATGTTCCATTACCCAACTAGCTAACTAGCAAACAACCAAGCTCAGCACCAAGGACTGATGATGTTACCTAGTTGGGTAATGAAACATCTGTAAGCAAACAACCAAGCTCAAAGAACACCAAGGACTCTACAAAACTGCTCTCCCAAAATAGAAGGTAGCCCATTTCACCCCAGGGCAAGCAGGAAGTGTGGATCAGCCCTATGTCAATATCTTCTCTAGCACCTGAATCAGTCCTGTAGTCTAATTTACAAGGGCAAATTGGGCTGAATTAGGAGTTTTTAACAAAATGTAATATACTCCGTTTTATTTTAGCATTAAAACTTTTGATGATGATGATGATGATGATGATGATGATGATGATGATGATGATCCCATCCACATGTGGAAGGAACACCAAGTGTCCATGGAATATGACAAATATCTGGCACAGAAGGAAGGAAAGTGGATAGACAGAAGGGTTTCAAGATTTTTGAAAACATTTTCTTGATCCTATGGCTATGAACAAAAAGTCTGCCAAACCCTGGTTTTAGGAAAGCATGTTAAACTACTTCTGTTTCAGCTGACATATATAATGGAGAAGGATGGTAACTAAAGACTGTAGAGCAAAGAGATAATATTAAGAGCCTCCTGCACTATGAACGACTAACACAAAATGTGAATAAAGGTGATAAAAGCTAGTTATTTTCTTGGTAGATAATGCAGCACTTGAAGAGCCCACCCAATTAAAACTAAAATGTTAAAAATGAGAGCTTATCTCTGAAATCCTCTTTTCTCATTATGAAACAATGCAAAGCTAATTAAAATAATGCTTAGAAGAAAGGTGAATACAGAGTCAGATAAATAATTTAAAATGCTGTAGGTTAGAATATTCTTGGTTCTTTTTATTGTTTTATGACTCCCCTGGTACAAGAATATTGACATTTAAAAGGACTCTTACTCTGAAGGATAAGAATGGGATATTTGATTTTAAAATATTACTTTTGCATGTTTGAAAACAGGATTTAGTTTTCTATATAATTTGGACTGTGTAGAGGCTATGTGTTCTAATTGGAGAGATCTATCTAAAGGTCCAAAATGGCTGAATTTAACAAAGATCACTATGGAGTATTTCAATCCTAAAACTGGAATGACATTAGAAAAACAGAATTCCTCTGCCTTTGTCTGGTACAGGAAAACCACACATGTTTTTAAACATTTTTCCCTAGCAAAATAGGAGGAAATTTGCAAGCAAGCCTAGAGCGTTATGGAGCCAGTCAAATTTAATAGAATTCAGTGGAGGATTTTTTAGTTATAGTCTTTGAAACCAATATTCCTTATAAGAGAAAGTCTGTTAAAAATTTAGAATTCCTTAAAAGCAAGGATATGTCCAATAATTTAACCACTGACATCATCATCAAATGATTTTTATTTCAATAACAATTGCAATAAGAAATCTAAAACATACCCCCACATTTAAATAATATTTAACTCCTATGAATTGGCATTAGCTCCAACATTGAGTGTTACAACACTAGATAACAGCATTTATTTTTAATGATAATCTTTAAAGTTAAAGATGGACATCTGAAGGCTAGGAGACAGTTTTGTGGTACCACACAAAAGTTGGCTTATGATTTTCATAAATTCCAGAGTGACAGGCAAAATCTTCTCATGCTTGACTGAATATCAAGTTTTTTGCAGCCCATTTCATTTATGCTGATGTAGCTAAATTCCATTTGTGTTTGCAAGTACAAAATGAAAATACATTTTAAAAAACAGGTTATTTGAAACCAAAAAGCCAGGCTAGGTCATTATTTCTCTCTGATGCTTTCCAGATTTACTGCTGGAGTAAAAATACACATTCCTGTTCCATTGCATGGTTCCTAATTTTTAACTGCTTCTGTCTACTTATTTCCCCTTTTACTGGAAACTGCTTAGCATCTCTCTTTGCGTTATTACAAACGTCTTGTTTTTTCATTATCTCTGCCTTGTCTAATGCTCCCATCTCTCTATGCAGGGTAGTTCTAGTTAGAGATGTTCTTTAATATTGGTACATTATTTCTTCGCCAGAACTAAATTTTAGCTTCTTAGAATGCTTCTGATTCACAACACATGTTTACTCTGATGGTAATGCTTTGCATTTTAAAGAACTCACTCAAAGAGGTAAGCAAGGAATAATCCCACATCCATGATTCAGAGGGGGAAAACAAATTAAAAATTGGGGTTTACTGGCATGCTCCAACTACTGTTCAGTCAAAATTAGCCTAAAGCTTACAGGCTTGGTTAGAGATTAGGGTTGTGCACATCTTGACAATTATTCAGAAGAAGTATTTTGTATGCCATGCAAGTTCAGCGCCCTTCTGCTATTAACGTAAGCTCATCTTTTTTCCAGACTTCTACCTGAACCTGAAATAAAGATGACACTACTTTAAGGAACCCATTACATATCTCTAAAGCGGTGACACTTGCAAAAAGAAAAAAAAAAGAAAAAGCCTGAAGAAAATAGGGCTGCTTTAATGAATACCAACTGCTGTTCTGTGCTCACATGAGGCCGAATGCATTTATTCTGAATCATTTTCAAAGTGTGTACAACCTTATTAGTCATAAACTTACATGCTTGTATTTTAGTGGCTATAGCAGTGCTTTTCAACCTTAGCAACTGATATGTGGACTTCAACTCCCAGAATTCCCCAGCCAGCCAGTCAATTATGGGAGTTGAAGTCCACATATCTTAAAGTTACTAAGGTTTAGAAACACTGGGCTATAGGAAAAAGCTTATGCAAGACTTAGGCTCATTCATTCCCTCCTCTTCTTCTCTTCAATGCTGATGGAAGGAGGAAATTTGAAACATTCCATTTTTAATAATCACAGTTTTAGTTCTTATTTATTGAAGCAAACCAGGTATAACCTGTGTTTTTTTTTTATCCTGGCATATTTATCCTAAATATAACTTAAATTATTCAGACTATATATTTGTTAGATGCAATAAATAAACAAAAGAAAGAGTGGAGGTTTTCAATCTTTTCTTTGCATTGCAAACTTATGACCAAGATTAGATTCCATATCTCAGACACTGTCCCATTGTTTTCTTTA